TGTGATTTTTTTTTTTATATATGCGTTATAACATGTAACAAATGTGCGTTACAATTCAAAGTTAATTGCACCCATCTACAGTGCACTGCAATGCATCTGCCTTCTAGTGTGCCCCAATGCATAGGTTAATTGGGCCTATATTTGTGTACATTGATGTCTGACAGCCCATTCATTTTTAATGACCTGCCTAATGTATTGTACTTTAACATACAAATGCGTGTATTGTAACACACTGTCTTATGTATCATAGTTTAAAAACAGAACTGTATGTGATGCTTATGTAGACCTATCAACATCTACATTTAAATCCTGAAGTACTTTGTAAACAGTAGTATGTGTTAGCAGATTACAACATCAGTTTCAGCAGTATCTGGCCATTTGAAAGATAATGAGTCATCTTTGGTTTATTGTGTTTTTGTTTTCTGTTATTAATATTTACATTGCCATTATCTTCCATAGCTTACTTGGGATTTGATAGCAGCATGCCATTGATTTGCATTTTTGTTCATTATCTTGGCTCTGCATTTTAATAAAGGAGTTTATTAGATGTACTTGTTTACGTTCTCTTCCCCACTACATGGTAGATTTCTCTCATTTCAGAACAAAGCCTTGTGTGGCTGCTAAAGAGGTTATTTTAAAGTGTGTTCTATTGAAGTCTGAGCATTGAATGATGGCTGCTGCTAGGTGCAGGGCTGGGACAGCCATCAAGGAAACAGATCTGGGAAACCACCACCCTGGTTAATAAGTGCTTTGATCTGTGGAATCAGTGAGCAGCCTGCAGGGGTAAAATGCAGTGGATATTTATAGCAACATGAATGGGAGGGATAAAGAGATTGTGGCTTGACTGCAGAAAGCTTATGAAAGTGAAAGCTGAATGTTCACACCTTTTTCGTCTTCTCTCCAAAGAGTCTGATCAGCAGAATGTATGTACAGCAGATTGTTTACCAGGGAATCATAGGTTCAAAAGCCAACAGACAATTTTTAAGGAGGCAAAAACATCTACTTTTATTGATCTTTGCAGTTAAAGAGGAACTTTACCCATATCTTCAACATAACAACAATTACACCTGTTAGTAATGACAGTCTACAAACACATACTTCTAGATAATTGCCAGCTTTTTGTCTTTTGCGTACCTTGTTTATCTTTTTTCCCCCCTCCCCAGTCTTCTGACGGCGTCCATTTTAACTAAGGGCAGGCTGCTAGCTTTCCCTTTACTTCCTGTAAATCTGGCGCATATGACCATGCACACCATGTCAGGGGAGGAATATGCTTTTCATTGAGATCTCGTCAGATTACAGATGAGATTTCTCAGCAATGCTCTGCTGATTTAATCTTCCCAGGATGCAAAATTACATTTGTGCCAGAGTGGACCAGGAAGTGGGGAAAAAAAAAATTGGATTCAATAGTCGGAAGACTTTGGCTAGTGTTGTTTTTCCACCATTTGTTATCATGCATTGCTTTTTGGACTAGGTTGGGCAACAATCTTATGTCTATAGGTTGAGGGATATTTCCAAATTAGATACCACCTGAGTATCCCAGGTCACAGTTCTCAAAATTATTGCCTGAATAACAAGTTGATAGCTTGTTGAACTCATACTTTGGTATCAACTGACATCAGTTTTGACTAGGGAAGCACCGATACTGTTTTTTTGGTATAGAGTATGAGTACTAATATTTATTTTTTTCGGTATGCACCGTTACCGAATACCGATACCACAAGTCCCATTAGGGAAGCCAGGCGGCGTGTAATGACTCGCCACCCGGCTTCCCGATTAGCAAGGAAGCTGTCTCATTGCTCCCTCGTCACCTGGTAATGAGGGAGCATGGAGCCGGCTTTCTGGCCAATCAGGAAGCCGGGCGCTGTGTAATGACACGCTGCCTAGCTTCTTGATTGGCCGGGAAGCCGGCTCCATGCTCCCTCACTTGGTGATGAGGGGGTATGGAGCCAGCTTCCCGGCCAATCAGGAAGCCGAGCCGCTTGTAAAGACGCGCTGCCCGGCTTCCTAATACCGGAAGTATCGGGCTAGGCATCGGAGCATTTGGGCGAGTAAGAGTACTCGCCCAAATACAGTGGATCTCGACTGTATTGTCGGGATCCATCCCAGCTGCGACGCTCTCCATATATATAGAGGGAATAGCCCGCTATCTACTGAGCTTTGGGTCAAGGTAGGAGGTTAGTATATGGCCTCCCATGACCCTAAAGAGAACTATGGGATAAAAAGGTTACCCACAGTTCTTTTAGGGCTTTTTCTTTACTTTTTAGCCAGTTCATGTTAACCACGGGGTAGAAGAAAATGTTATATACTACTGGTTGGGTTCTAACTGCAAGTTGTTAAGGTTTGAAATAATGTTGAAACACTTGGCTGGTTATCTGTGTGCGTTCCAAACATTGTGCAGCTGCTTCTCACATCCTCAGGGGGTGAAATGACTTGTAATGTGAACCTTCTCTTCCTGTGTTTACATTCACTGTCACTGGCTACAAGGTTGGAATAGACAAATGGTATTCCTATTGAGTTATTCTATATATTTTATTTTTTAAGCCTTGGATTTAATGACAAGCTGACAATATTTCTGACTTGTCATTTTATTTTTCAAAGCGATGATGATAAAAAAAAGCCCTTGAGATATCAAAGGCTGTAGTATAGTGCCAATCCTGTGACTACCTTTTAAAATGTGGCACAATTGGCCCAGTCTGATGCCTATAAGTCTTGGAGATTTGGCTATACATGAGATGACTCTTTCGACTCCTTTGCAACACATGGAGCTTGGTGTTGCTGATGAGACAGTTATTAACAAGGGAATTGTATTATGTTACTAAGTGATTTCAACTATTCTCTGTAGAATACTCCAAAGGGAATGTATAGTCTTTTTTCAATATGGGTTCTTTTTTTTCCGATTGTACACGTAACGGATCTTAATTTTAAATTTATTATGAAGTGTTAATATTTTAAAAACCTGTTTTTATTTGTACTTTGGAATTGTGTGTGTGTGTGTGTTTTTTATAAAAAGGGAAAAAATGTATAGGTGTGTATGTTATCTCAGCAGCTGTCAAAGTCCACCCCCCCCCTGTAATTAAAGGGTTAAATGCTTGTTTTGGCCTGGTGTACCTTTTTAAGAAAGAGGGATTATCTTTTCTTATCCCTAGCTCTGTCAGGCTTCTCCTTCCCTTCCAAGTACTGAGAGCATTTTTATAGTGCACCTCCATGCAAGGTAAGCTCACACATGGATTGTGGAGCTTGTGTTACATTAAAACCTGCGGTCACCTTTTTGGATGAGTTGGGTAACCCATTCAAATAATTGGTCTGCTTTATTGCAGTGCATGTTGGCACTTAGATTAGTACACTTTCATGCACCACAAAAACGTGAATACAGCCCTTAAAGTAAACATTGTAAGAAAAAATATTTGCTCACTGCTAATGCAGTATACTTGCCCTTTAGGCCTCGTTCAAACCAAGCGCGGAGCAGATCCAGAGCAGGTGCAGACCGGATCAAAACTGCGTCCAATGTATTCCTATGGTGTTTTGAGCTCCAGTTCACATCGCAGCGTGCAGATCCAGAGCAGATCCAGAGGACGCTAGTTTGTGTCCTCCTGTTACCCTAAGGAGAACTATGGGGAAAAACACTGACCCCATAGTTCTCCTTTAAGAATCACTACTTGCAGCACAGTAATTTATGCACACATTATCCTGTGTCTGATTCTGAAAATGGAAGTCTAGTTTTAACCACAGTATGTGTGACTATTTTCAACATCTCATTGTTTACACTTGACTTTTTATAAAGACAGCCTAGCTCTAGTCTCTACATTTGTTTAACTGGCTCCAGGCTACTGGGTAACATCTGACGTTTATTTAAATAATGAATAAGCCATAGGAATGCCAGCACAAGGAAGGCCGAATTTATGACTAGTGTTTTTGCTCTCCTAACAACTAGGTTTTATTTTGTTGCCTTTATGCCATTTATATTTGAAAAATGCGTCCTTGATCCTTTTTGAATGCTGATGCCTTTTTATAAAGCATTTAATGGTGGTGCGATGAGGCTGCGAGTACTTCTATTTCTAGATCTTTTCATGTAGATTTTTAAGCATTAGCAGTAGTACACAATAGCGTGTGTGTAAAATGTTTCATATGGTATGTGAACAAATATTATGATTTCAATCTTTTGATTGCTTTAAACACATTGAAAATGATTAAGTGATGGGATAGATGCTGTGTACCTAGTAAAGTAAATGTTGGTGAATAAAGGTAAGCTGTTTTCACTTTGAATACCCACTCATATGCATGAAGAATAAAAGCCCAATCATTTGCTAGCAAAAGTTGTTTTTTTGTGTGTGGTGTTTTTTTGTTTTTTTAAAGTGAATACAGCTTCACCTTATTTAGTAACATTAAAGGAGAACTATGAGGTGAGTGCTTTTCACTCGCCTCATAGTTCTAGCCGACCTGTGATAATGAGACTGTCACAGGTCGGCTTAGTAGATCGGGAGGTGAGCGAACACATACCGGCGTTCGCTCACCTCTCGATCCTGTCACGGCTCTCTGCCGTGACAGGGGAGGGGCTGGATTCCCCGCTCCGATCTGCCAGCGCTGACTGGCGGAACGGACGGGGGAGGGGGCGGGTACAGCTGGCTCTGCCTCTAGATAGGCAGAGCCAGCTGTCACTCACGCAGCTGGGCGGATCCCGTCATCTACGTCGGGATCCGCAGCGGCGTCTCAGTATCCTACCGTTAACCGAGCTGCAGCTCGCGGTATACTGAGCTTAGGTTAACGGGAGGATGCTAGTTTGTGTCCTCCCGTTACCCTAAGGAGAACTATGGGGAAAAACACTGACCCCATAGTTCTCCTTTTTAATTTTGCAAAGGGAACACTGTTGACTTCTTCTTTAGTAAATCAACTTCCTACAAGCCACTAGTATAGATTTTTGGTTATGTCTCACTTATTTTCTAGTATTTTTTTTTTGTTTTTTTTGTTAACGGTGCCCTGACTTCTATTTTCTCTCTCTTCAGGAACCTTCCTGTAGGATACAATGGGAGAACTTCATCATGGACTTGCCGAGTGGTGGTGAAATGGTACTTTGGCAGCACTGTGCGGTGATGTGATCCGTTCTTTTGGCCCCTGAGGATACTCAGCTGGATATTATTAAGGGCCCATTGTTTTTGTGGCTTTGTGGATTGGGAATCCCTTAGCATCTGCTGGGATCCCTAGGCCTGGTTCTTATGGTATAGGAACATGGACCATAGCAACAGGGAGAAGGATGACAGGCCACGAGCAGCCAAAGCTTTGCCAGTGCGGACCGGCCATAGCTCCCGGCCATCCAGCTCGACTACCTCCTCAGGGGTCCTTATGGTGGGACCCAACTTCAGGGTGGGAAAGAAGATTGGCTGTGGAAACTTTGGGGAGCTACGGTTAGGTAAGACTAATCCAAGGGTTTTATTAAATGTATTTATTCCTTTTGATTAACAGATCATCTGCATTTTAGAAGGTTGCAAATATGATACAGAAAATTCAGTTCATACACACCCATGGCAGTCTTTCAAAGGCTTAGAAGCCAGCAACAATGGGGTTTTGACTTGGCATATGCAATGCTCCCCCACCCACACCCATCACAGCTGCTATATATGTATGTGTTCACACACACACAGGCCAGTCTTATCCACGGTGCCATTTATTTTTAGAACACAAACAAAAGGTCTGATTTGCAGACACAGCCAATAAAAAAAAAATGGGACTGCTTCTTTTACAGGGTTTTTGCTTTTTTTTTTTCCATCTGCTCTCTTTAAAGGAAATCTGTAATAAAGGTTCTGCAAATTTTAGTTACTGGTCTAAAAAACAAAGTAAAAAAAAAAAAAAAAAAGTAGCATGAAATGCTCCCAAATATTACAGTGGGATTCACAGTAATTTGACCAATGGGGAGTGAAGCAGAGCTTTCGGTGTATTTGGCGCCCATGCCTATCATTAATTAGAGCTGCATGCTCCTTATACCGTTCAGTTCTGATGTACATTGGCAAAGCAGCCCTAAACTCCTGTGTGGTGAATACAGTCAGTAGTGCACATGCATTCAAGGTTACAGCTGTCTCCACGGTAGAGATGAACAGGAACCCTCCTCCGTATGCCACACCACATCAAAGCACCAGGTGTGAAACTCTCTTCTAGACACAGTGCACATGAGTGCTTGCACATAATAAATGAACCATATAATGTATTTTTTCCTTTCAGGGTATTCCCAGTATAACATATTATACTGTGCATTCAGAAAGTATTCAGACCCCCTTCACTTTTTTCAATTTTGTTATGTTTGTTGCAGGTTGATACTACAGATATTTTAAATTCTCTTTTTTTTCCCCCTCCGCTACTCTCAGTACCGCATAATGATAAAGTGAAAACCGAATTTTAGAAATGTCTGTTTATTAAAAAGAAAACACTGAAATATCACATGTACTTAAAGGGGTTCTAAACCGTTTTTTTGCCTATATCTACTGCTAGCAAGCAGTAGATATAGGCAAGAAGTTTAAAAAACAAAAACAAAAAACGCTTGAACTGGTTTTAAACTTACCTCGTTATCGCTGCTCGCTCCCGCGCTGAGAATCAGGAAGTGATCGTGATTGGCGCGGGCGCATGCGCAGTTCCGATTCTCGGCCGGGAGACTAGCAGAGACGCAAGGTAAGTCTATGGACGCGTGCACCCGCCTGCAGACCCCGCTGGATCGGATAGACAGAGCAGTCAGCGCTGGATCGGAGTGACGTCACACCGCTGGAGGGACAGATGAAAACATGGGGAAAGAAGAGGAAGATCAGAATAAGAGACATCATTTGAGGTAAGTGCTAACATTTACATGTTAGCACTTACCTCAAAAAAAAAATTTGGCTTTAATGTCACTTTAAGTATTCACACCGTTTACTCAGTACTTTTGTTGAAGCACCTTTTGGCAGCAATTACAGCCTTGAGTATTTTTGGGTATGACGCGACAACCTTTGCACACCTGGATTGGGTCATTTTAAGCCATTCTTTGCAAATCCTCTCAAGCTCAGTCAGGTTGAATCGGAATTGTCAGACAGCCATTTTCAGATCTCTCTAGAGGTGTTCAATAGGACTCAAGTTAGTGCTCTGGCCTGTCCACAGAGTTGTCCCTTAGCCACTCCCGTGTTGTCTTGGCTGTGTGCATGCAATCGTTGTCATGTTGAAAGGTGAACCTTCAGCCCAGTCTGAGGTCCTGAGCGCCGTGGAGCAGGTTTTAATTGAGGAAATCTCTGTACTTTGGTCCATATAGATTTCCCTCAACCCTGACCAGTCTTCCAGTCCCTGCTGCTGAATAACACCCCACAGCATGATTCTGCCACGACCATGCTTCACTGTTGGGAAGCTATTGGGCAGGTTATGAGCAGTGCCTGGTTTTTAGGTGCTTTTGTGCAAACTCCAAGCGGTGGCAAGGAGAGGCTTCAGTCTAGCCACTCTACCATAAAGGCCAGATTAGTTGAGGGCTGCAGTGATGGTTGTCCTTCTGGAACTTGGTCCCATCTCCTCACAGGATCTCTGGAACTCGGTCAGAGTGACCATCGGGTTCTTGGTCACCTCTCTTACTAAGGCCCTTCTCTCCCGATTGCTCAGTTGGGCTGGGCGACCAGCACTTGGAAAAGTGTTGTTGCAAAGCCCTCATTCACACTACAAAAGGCCGGCACGTACAGCTCCGTGCTGCCTGTACGGCCATATCGGGCAGCTCCTGGGAAGGACAGGGGCTGCGTGTGATTTAGTACACAGCCCCTGTCCTTCTCTATGGAAGTATGCGGCCGTACGCCGCCCTACGCTTGCCCCAAGTGCAAGTCCGTTCGGGTGCCTGTTTCCTGGCTCAGACGCAGACAGGACCCATCCTGTCGGCGTATGAGTACGGACACCCGCACCTGCACGAACGTGCAGGGCGGGTGAGCATAGGGCGGCGTACTGCCGCTTACTCCCATAAAGAAGGACGGGGGCTGCATACTAATCACATGCAGCACCTGTCCTTCCCGGGAGCTGCCCAGGGCTGTACGTACCGGCCTTTTCTAGTGTGAATGAGGGCAAAGGGTGTGCGGAATCCCTATCGCTTGACGCCCTGGACATGCAGTTCCGGGCAGGTCGTGTTTTTTTTTTTTTTTCTACGTTAGCAGGCTAGCAGATCTGAACGTAGAGCATGGGAGCTGCTCATTTTGTGATATTTAGATCACTTGTATAAAATGAGTAGCCATCTTGTCGTCCCCCCCCCCCGTTGTGTTGTGGTCTTTGGGGCCCCCTGCTCTTCTGGGGGACCCGGGATCATGACAATGTTTTCAGGATGGAGAGCAAAGCGGAGAACGCCCCTTCTCAGATCTTCTCTCTGTGAGACAGGAATGCTTTACTCAGTGCCCCCTTATGTCAGCTGTCACAGGCTGCGCAGAATTGAGCACAATGCAGTTGCTCGATGTTCTGTGAAACTGAGAATAAGTAAATGAAAAAAAGTTAAGTGATGAAGTAAAAAACAATAGAAGAAAAAAAAATTAAAACCGGCCCCACTGCCATCTGCATGTGAATAAGCAGTGCTCTCTAACGCACACAATGGGGGGAATTTTATCAAAACTGGAGCAGACAAAATCTGGGGACGCTGTGCCTGGCAACCAATCAGCTTCTCCCAAATTTGCTCAGTTAAGATTTGAAAATGAAAGAGAGAAGCTGATTGGTTGTCATGCACAGCTGCTCCAGATTTTGTCTGATCCAGTTTTGATAAATGTCCTTCAATGTGCATTAAAGGGTAAGTTCACTTTCCCAAGTAATTTGGGAAAATGGAATTACCCCCTCAAATCTGGCCCCCTCTCCCCACATTCCCTCCCCCAGCGCTTTACTTGCCTTTTGGCCCACTGTCCTTCCCCTCCTCCAGTACTCCATAATGCCATCTAGCACAGCTCTGCCCTATGGATTTTGAATTTCGCACGCAAATTGCGAGCACTTGGTTCAGATGACCACGTTGACCAGTGAGAAGCGCTTCTTCGCCTGCTTTATATGCGATTTTGCTTAAAATTATTTTTTTGTATCAGAAGTAGCTTGGGCCCCCCTCTTAGTCAAGTAGTTGTGTGGTGTTTTTTTTTTTTTTAACTCTCCACACCCCTGACTTATGCCAATGTGATATTTCAGTTTTTCCTTCATACATTTTACAAAATTCTGTTTTCTTTTATCATTATGGGGTACTGAGTGTAGATTAATGAGAAGAAAAAAAAGAATGTAAACTGTAGTATCCGGCTGCAACATAACAACATGGAGAAAAATGAAGGGGGGGTCTGAATTCTTTCTGAATGCACTGTAGTTGAAGGAGCCTAATGCAAGGGAGAACCATTTATACAATCCTTGCAAGCTGCTGCTGGAATGGCTAAAAATCATTACCGCGTTAGTGCTTGCCATAGCTGAGACGCAAACAGATTTTCCACACTAGATCCCCCTCCACCCCATTTTTCAGAACTAAATGTAATTAGAAAAAAAGAAAAAAAAGTCTGGAGCTTCTCCCATCCCTCTTACATATTTTCTGTAGACTTCTGCACAAGACGACAGCTTTTTAAGTTTTTCACAATGTGTTCTTTAGGACATAAACCTTAAATCCTTTCTGCAGTTTATTTTAAAGGTATTGAAATATTTTCCAGAGGCAATAAGTGGCAGCTTCTCATATTGCAGACATGGCCATCTACTTAGATCACCCTGAGTTAGTGCAGTGCTGAGCAGGTTAGTTTCGCAGGACTGGTATTGCCATTTAGATGTTGACAGCTATCAAATATTTATTCTAGTGCTTAAGGAACAAGTCCAGATTTCAGCACATTATCCTTTCTAATAGTCCTAGTTATTGTACAGCAGGGTTTCAGCTTGATCAATGTTATACAGTGACACTACTTTGCTCTTCACTAACTGGCTGATTATCGTCACATACGGTTTAAAGTAACTTTACCAGCTAGATTTGTTTGGCTCATGCAAGAGTAACCAGTTAGGCAGTTTAAAAGGAACACTCCATTCAAAGTTACAAATGAAACCCAGATGCAGACAATGAGCACCTACCTGCTTCAGTAATTACATTTGTTAGTTCCAGCACACTAGATGGCTGTCTGGATTGAGAATGATCATGAATCAGTCTGAGAATGTATGCTTGTGTTGTAGGAGAGGATTTCTCATACTCACCTTAAGAATTTTTCATGTCTCGCATACAGAATCATAAAGGGAGGGTAGTCCAGTTCTAGGAAGCTTTCTCATAACCACCAATCGGATTAAAAGCTGCCTTTAAAGTTTGAATGTGTTTGGTGATATGACAGCACTTATATTTAAAGAGACACTGTCAGATTGTCTATGCAGGGCAAAATTATAGTGTCTATGTAAAGATTCCCTGGCCCTTTTATTCTCGCCTTGCCTGTGCTTTCTTTGCTCTTTCCTCTATTTCAGCCAGCTAAGCTATCTGGCACTTATGGGTATGGGGGAGCATATGACAGTGGGGGAACGGCCATGCAATACCTGTGGCATTTAGCTACTAGGCCACAACGCTAATTGCATTGCCATTTATGATGGAGGACAGAGCAGGAAGGGATCGCAGGTACGGGGAGTATAAGGTGGTGACAAGGTGACAAGGTGACAATGTTGCTCTCTTCAAATATTACTGTTTGAGTGTTTGTTTTCACATTTCACACTCCGATTGCGCTCAGCATTGCTTTTGTATTTGTATCTTTTTGTATATTGTTTGGTTTCAGAATGGGAAGTATAAGAATACAAAAGACTATAATAAATGTATAGAAACACTATTGTATATTTTTGCTCTGTATGTACTATATCACCTATGGGATGGCCATATGTCACAGGTCACTTGGTATATAAAATCAACAAGGCTCTTGCATCCCTGCCACATTGGGGATTGTATGAAATGTCACCTAGTTTAGATCATGACCCAATGCACTGCATTGTAGTTCTACTGCTGGAGCGTTACAGCTGAATAGCAGTGTATTTCCATGAAAAAAAATACTGCATGCCATACTTTTTTAGCACACGCCACTGCAGTGCATTGGGGTGAACTGACCCAACTGTAAACAAGGCAATTTGGCCTGTCAATGTGTTGGAACTACTCTGGGAGACGCTGCCCAGCACAGCCCCACATAGACAGAGGTATTCCATAGCCATTTCACCAGCACAGCTCAACATATACAGAGGCATTTCCTATCCCTGCAAAGTACAAGACCGCAAGCTTTTATACGTTTCATAGGTGACCGGAGGAAGATGTATTTATGCACAGTTTCTTACAGTGACCATTGTTTTTATTTTGTGTTCTATTTTGATATCAAGCTGATTTTGTGCTTCTTTTTTTAAAATTTTTTTTTAACCTTTTAGGGGTTACTGTTTAAGCCTCCATAGTTCCAATTTGGGACATGTCTTAAAGCAGAAGTAAACTTCTGGCAAACAAATGGGCCCCCCAGGAGCTTTTAGCCCTAATGTGTTATATATAACACATACGCATATTATGGCAGTCTTGCCTACCCCAGCACTCCCCTCCATCACCACTGCTTACATCTTTGCCCAGTTCCTCAGTATGGAGCTCTGCCAGTATGAGACTGTGCAGAAGCCTGAGCTCTGCAGCCTTGATCGAGTGATCACCGTTGCAGTGCTTTCCAGGCTTGAAAGCAAAAATGAAAGATGCATATTTTTTTTTGCAAAAATTAAAGCAATCACAGGCATTGCTTTTAATTTTTGCAAAAGGTGAACTTGGCCTTTTAAAAGTGTATGTCTGGATAAAATAACAAAGCATTTAAAAAAATCTGTACATTTCTGCTAACCCTTTAGAAACGACAGAAGCACAGAAAAATATCTTGTTTTGCAAGGAATTGAAAAATCAAATATATATAACTATAAATATATAGATATATTCTCTTCTAGCCTCCATGTTTCATAGTAGGTACAGTGTTCTTTTCTTTTGAAACTTCATATTTTTTTTTCCATCTCTCAACATAGAGCTGATGTGACTTGCCAGAAAGCTGCAGTTTTGTCTCATCTGTCCAAAGGAGATTCTTCCAGAAGCATGCATTGTGGCTTGTCAATATGCATTTCACAAATTGCATATTGGCAAGCTACAATATCCTCTGCAATTTCCATCTGGGTGTTCTTTCTCTGAGCCCACTGTTGCTCAGAAAAAGGTTAGAAACGGATGTACCTTGACCTTGGAGTTCAGCTGGTATGTTTTAGGTGCTTCTCTTTGTTTGTCATTACACTATCCTTCTCTCCAATTTGGAGTAGATACTCTTTTTTTTCGCATGCATGTCTAGGGAAGCTGTCTACATTCTCAAGGACTTCAAACTTTGATGCTCCTGTTGCTACAGTAGCAAATATTACAAACTGGTCTATAATTGTCTTTTATAATCCCCTCAGACAACTCTCTTCATTTGCTTTCTCTGGTTCGTGTTCAGTTTAGAGCCTTGGTCCTCAACTGGCGGGTCATGACCCAAAAGTGGGTCGCGACCTGGTGTTCAGTGGGTCGCCACATGCCTTCAACTTTTCTAGGTGAGAGGCTCTTTAGCCTCCCCCTAGCACAGCACTGTCCATTCTCACACTGAGCAGCCATTCAAAATATGCTGCTCGGCACCGAGTGTAAGCTGGGGGTATGGCAGCGAGGGAGCTCCATCCATACATGTATTGCTTATGGCTCCCTCGCTTGTCCTATAGAGTTAACTGGACCAGAGTAACATCACATTCTGGCTCCCGGCAGCTCTACAGGCGCGTTTGGGAGCTGTACAAGCAATGCACATATGGATGGAACTCCGTCACAGCACAGCAGCCCACAATGCCGTGCGTTCCATTTGAAGTGCGACTTTGGTCGTGACTTAATGACCGAGGACAAATGTGGGTCCTAATGTTACACAAGTTGAGAACCACTGGTTTAGAGCACATGATGATACCAAACAGCAGTGACAACTTTTCTCTATTTTACATAGGCTGACTGACTAATTTCAAGATTGAAAACCTGTGAGATACTAATACAGAAAAAAGTTTTAAATATCACTATGATCCATTTATTTGTAATCTCTTCTAGAGTGCCAAATTTGTCCCAAGCCATTTTAGATTCTTTGCAGAATAAGCAGTTTATTGCTTTACTCTGACATACCAAAGCTTTACTCTGGCATTTTTTAGCCCAGCATACAGTTTATTTTTATTATTCAACCTGTGTAAACTAGGGCAATTCTTTGTCAACAAATAAATAACTAATTAGCAATTAACTAATTTGCATTGCACTGAACTCATCATGCTGCTGGGGAGGTAATTGCCTACAAGTAGGTAAATATCTAAGGAGCAGTTTTAATTGCCCTTCTAGCTGCAGCCTGGGCATAAAAGTATATTACAGATGTAACTTCTTACAGGATTCTAAATAATTTATTTTCTTTTAACAGGCAAGAATCTTTACACCAATGAATATGTGGCTATTAAACTGGTGAGTATCTATCAACCAGAGTTACCGCTTTGTCTACGGCTTCCTGACTCAAACTTGTACATGCTTCCTTTTCCTGCTGTGTGTATAAACTAGCTTATTTCCGGGTTCAAGATGTCAGAGGTCATAGGTTCCTTGGAAATAGAGAAATGAACAAGGAGAAAAGAGTTTGTGTGTTTTTGTCTGTTTTTTGTTGTTTTGTTTTTTATTTCATACATACTTACTGTATAAACATAAGAAAAACAGTTATTGCAGTGTTACAAATCTTTCCATACTAACCTCCAATACTGTCTATGGCACAAAACCATTAGTAATACTTTAGAATGTATATCAAATATTTGTTGAGAGCCAAACTAAAGAGACCCTGTCACCTTACTTGTTCAGGGCAGAGGGACAGTGTCTTTGCAGAGGCCCTACCAACCCTTTTATTCATGTTGCTAGCGCTCGACCACCACTAATTCCTCCATAACAGCCAGTGACCGTACCCAATGCTTTCAAATATGAGGGAGCATGTGACCTTCAATTGTAGCCAATCCCATAGCCAGAGCATTGTCACATGACCAAGGAAGCTATATCTCCGATCCAGCAATTTTCAAGCATAAAAAAATGAATAGAAATCCTCCTAATAATATTCTGAAAGCTCTAATTAACCTTCAGTTTACATCAGTAAAAAGGTGTTCAATGTCTTACTGCTGAAACACACCTTTTGCTAACTGGTGCATTGTGGTTATGAATGTTGCAGGTGTCATTTTAAATTGCATTTCAATGCTGCACCACAATACTGTGTATTGTGGTGCAGCACACCACAATACACGGTAACATACTACTGTTCACTGCTTTAAAAAAAATTCTGCAAGTCTCGTGTGTTGGTAGTCCATTCAAAATAAATGGGCTGCTGTAAAACGATGTACATTAACGCATGTCAAAGTGCGGTAATGTACAACACACATGAACGGAGAAGTGTGAACAGGCCCTTAAAGGAGAACTATGACATGAGTGATTTCCCCTCGCCTCATAGTTCTAAGCCGACCTGTGACAATGAGACTGTTACAGGTCGGCTCAGTAGATCGGGAGGTGAGCGAACACATACCGGGTTCCCTCACCTCTCGATCCTGTCACGGCTCTCTGCCGTGACAGGGGGAGGGGCTGGATTCCCCTCTCCCCGCTCCGATCTGCCAGCGCTGACTGGCGGAACGGACGGGGGAGGGGGCGGGTACAGCTGGCTCTGCCTCTAGATAGGCAGAGCCAGCTGTCACTCACGCAGCTGGGCGGATCCCGTCATCTAAGTCGGGATCCGCTCCAGGTGCGGCGTCTCAGTATACCGCGAGCTGTAGCTCGCGGTATACTGAGCTTAGGGTAACAGGAGGACGCTAGTTTGTGTCCTCCCGTTACCCCAAGGAGAACTATGGGGAAAAACACTGACCCCATAGTTCTCCTTTAAAGTTAGTTTCCTTTGTAAAGTAGTCACAGCCTGCATAGCGGGACCCTTGCTGTCTGTGTGAAAGCAGTGATCTCATTTTAGAGGTCAAACTTTCCCTCTTACATAGTCCCATAACTCCACAATCGACAAAGCTCGTGTTATCCATCTGATTGAAGAGCTCTAGCTCTGACTTCACAGGGAGCCTGTCGGACCTCTGCAAGGAGATGCTTCTCTACAGCGAACAGGGGTCCCACTTTGCAGCAAACTGGCAGGACCCAGGTTTCTCTATTAGGGCTGTGGCTACCTTCCAAAGAAAAGTAACTTAATTTAAGAGTCCTATCAAACTGCTTTTAACTGGATGCGGGTCTTTTTTTTTTTTTTTTTTTACAGAAAACAAACCGACTTAAACACTTTGTTGTTTTGATGTGACTGGAACGTATATGTAGCTAATTTAAACTGAAATTTCAAGCTGTATTAGGTCTCCTAGAACCGCACAATTAAGTTTTACTAATGGTTCATAGAGCAAAAAAGAGAAAGTGGGGCTTTGTAGGCACCAAATTGACGAATTACAAATAAATGTAAATTGATTAAAAAAAATATAATTTATTTAATTACATGATCAGTAGAAAAATATATGAAATTTAATTTAAAAACACAGACGCCTCCAAAATTCATTGAGTTCCAAACTGCAACACACACAATTGAGATCATATATATCATGATAGAAATGTGCAACATGTCAAATTTAATGGTCATATATACATCAATTCAATTCAAGTGCATGATCAAAAGTTGAAAATGTCTTAGCTGGAACGCCAAGCAGAAAATAGTACTGAATGGTCCGACACGTTTCGCGCTTCAAGTAGGAAGGTGACTCAGACCCCAGGAGGAGGCACATAGGGCGTACTGATCAGAGACGATGCATAGAGGTAGAAAAGCCTAAGTATCCCCAGACAATGGGAGATAAACAGACAGGGACGCAATCGCTCAGTATAAGGTCTTGATGGATCAAAGATTGGCTAAAAATGGATGCCTCTGCGCCGTAAATCCATCTGACTTGTGCTGCTGAGAGAAGAGGGTGTGAGTTGCGACATCCAGAGGTGGGGGGAAGGGGGAGAGAGAGAGAAGGCAACAAGGCACACAGATCCTATGCTATTTCTCTTGTGTGTCCGCCGATGTATGTCTGGCCATCCCTGGTCGGAACTCTGCTAATGGTTGACAAAGAAAAGGTGTTGGAAATGATTTAATGACCGGAATGGATGCACCACCAGATATTCCTAAATGACGTAGAAAAAAGTGCCTCTAAATCTATGGTTTCAAAAGCATATCTGAAGGTAGCCTTTTCCTGCTAAATTAGTCATAATTTTCTATGTACACTGCATATAGTGTGTGTGTTTTAATATATATATTTATTATGTATGCATACAATGATGCTCTCTGGAGTGTTCGCCATAGTAATCTGTTAACACGTTTGGCTGCATTAATACCTGTTGACTCCTAATAATATAAAAGAAATTATGTAGTTAATGCTGCGCTTATGAGAGTGGACCAATTAATTATTTTTAGCTGTGTGGTAAGCGGTTTATTCTTAGGTCACAGTTGCTTGCTACCATCTGTACACAAAAAGGACCTTTGGAAAAATAAGAGGTATTTGGAGTCCATAAAGTGATATGGTTTCATCAGTTTTAAAGCAAAGACATTTACTAGCCAACTTCAAAATGCTTCCTCTTTACAACACTCTCGCATCCACGTAATATAATTAGGTTGGGTTTGTGGTTTACCTAATGACTCAATCACGGATTAGATACTGGGCTAACACTACCAAGCATCAAACCTCATGGAAAGTGGAACTTTGGATATGTTTTTTGAATCTGTTCACAGATTTACATTTGCTAGGTTCCAAAATGCAATCCAGTACAACACTGCAGTGTTCTCAGACAGGTGTGTTGAGCTTGTGACACCATTAATGGTATACTTGCGAGATAAAATAAGTATAGGTAAAAGATAACAGAGCAGTCTTGCCAGAGTGTCTTGGCAACTTAAAGGACATTTCCATGGAAAAAGGTAATTGGTCATATTGTGGTAACATTGAGAGATTTATGACTCTCCTAAGCCTGTGGTAAATGGGGAAACCCCCATCACTATTGCATCATTACTATTGCTGATGTTGCTTGGTGGCAGCCTTTTGTGGCCTGAAAAATTAAGATTACCATAAAGAATCAACTTAATTGTAAATGTGACAACATGTCTGAGGTCCATGCCAACATGACACACACATTTTAAGTGAATATGGACAGCAGCATACATTATGGTTAGCCTAAAGCTGGCCACACACTGCTTTTATATATTTAATTTAACCCGTGGGCTGAACGAAGAAAATAGGAACAGATTCCTCAAACACTAAAGAGTGTTTGTCAAGAAACCCCGCTGTTTGTTTTGTATTCTGCAAGCAGCCGCCGCCTGCTGCTGTCAGAATACCCGAGCAGAGTTGGCAGCTCCTTTTAAAGGTTTTCTGCCTGGCTCATTCAGTCAGCTGACCAAGAGATGGTGGCTGACAGCGGCACCCACTGTGCAAATTTCATCACAATATTTGTGGCCAGCTGTAGAAGTAATGCTTTTGTCCTACACTAGTACCACTTGGGCCACATGCACAGAGGTTTAGGAGCTGCAGCTGAGAATTCCTGCAGGAAGAACCTGTGGATTCTTGCAGCAGGAATCCCAGGTGGGTACATACATGTATATAGCTACATAGAACAATTACCTGTGGTTTGGGATAGATTGCCCCCTGCACGCAATTTATTTGCATTCGTAGCTGTACAGACCCACCTGGGATTCCAGCCACAGGAATCCCCAGCCACAGCTTCTAGCCCTGTGTTCATGAGGCCTTATCTTGAGCTTGATATTTTAAATAGAGTGACAAGGGTTAGATATCATTGGTATAGGACAAATGCATGTTTAAGGCTTACCATAATGTATGCTGCTGTCCATATTCACTGTAAATTTGTGTGTCATGTTGGCATGGACCGCAGACATGTAGTGCAGTAGCATCAGCAATAGCAAGACGGGGCTTTTCTTCTTGTTTACCAGAAGCTTATGAGAGTCCTAAATCCTCCAATTTCCCTCAGATTCATTTTAAGACTTACTTGCGTTTTATTTGCCTCTGTACTGTTTGCAGATTGATTGTTCTTGTAGGTTTGTCTTAGGAAAAACTAGGTGTGACAGGATTAGCTTGTCATTCAACAAATCAGGATTTAACTGTAAGTGACACCAAACTCGTCTATAGCCTGTTCTCCTACCAGTGACCTTATACAAAATTGGTCTGGTTTTAGTAAGGAGGGAGTTCATAAAGGAAACTGGTTTTATCACCTTTTCAAAATACTTTTTAATAATTATAATAAATCAGTACTTAGGTTTTCTAGCAGCTAGGAATTACTAGGCCTGATACCGTGTTTCCCTGAAAATAAGACACTGTCTTATATTTTGTGTGGCTCAAAAAACACACTAGGTCTTATTTTCAGGGTAGGTCTTATTGGTTTTTTTATGTACAACAATCCAAAGTTAATGCAAATTCAAATTAAATAATCCAAAATGACAAAGTTAAGAATATGGTGATCAGGGCAATCAGGAGTGCCGTACCTTTCCAAGAGCAATTTGGTAACCAGAATGAGCGAAGTGCGCTTTCACTATCGATTCCTCACAGGCGGGGTGCATTTGGTATCACTTCGCCTGTGACAGGAGACGGCGCTATAGAGGAAGCATCGGCTTATGCGGCTCTGCTCCCTCTGGTGCTGCCTCGCTTCCTCTAGCGCTGGCTTCATTGCCACCGCTGATTCTCTCCCGCCTCTCCAAGTTCCCACTTATGCCATCACCGGCCCTGGGAATGGTCACAGCTAGGTCTTATTTTCAGGGTAGGTCTTATATTTTAGCAATTCCCAAAAATGATACTAGGTCTTAATTTCGGGGTAGGTCTTATTTTCGGGGAAACAGGGTAAACACTGGATGAAAAGGTACAGCTGTACTGTCTGCTTGTTTTTCCCCAGTATTTACTCTTTGCGCCTGACATCTTTCCGGACTGCACAGGCACAAGTTCTATTCCTGGTAAAAATAAATAAAATAAAGTGAATATAAAGCAAATCCTAGATGATATATAAATGTATATGAACCTTTTTTACGGACAACATTTATAACTAAAAGTGGAAATTTGTCTAATTATTTTTCAGGAACCAATCAAATCTCGTGCACCCCAGCTTCATCTGGAATATCGATTTTACAAGCAGCTTGGAACTACAGGTATAAGATAAAATTTGCATATTTCCACATGTTTGTAAATTTTTTATTTTTTTTTGTAAATATGTAGCAGGTTTTCTGAGCTTGTATAATTACTATTTTTTGTGTTGTTCCAGCGGATGGCCTTCCTCAAGTCTTCTATTTTGGCCCATGTGGGAAGTACAATGCCATGGTACTCGAGCTCCTAGGTCCAAGTTTAGAGGATTTGTTTGACCTTTGTGATCGGACATTCACTTTAAAGACTGTGCTAATGATAGCCATTCAGTTGGTGAGATTTATTTTTGTTAATTTTTTTTTTTTATACTTCACACTCGGCCAATAAATGTTTTATTGTTGGAATATTTTGTTTGTTTTTTTTCCTTAAAGAACAACTTGACCATGCTCTTAAAATTGACGACAAAGGCACCTTTAGAAATGTTTAGTAATGGAAATCTACAGACTTTATGTATTTGCAGGCTATTTATTCTTTGTATATCCCCCCCCATCATTCTTATTACAGTGGCTATTTTCACCTAAGGGCATATGAATCCATCTCCCTTTTGCTTCCTGGAATTTGGGATCTGCCTCCAACATGCGACAGTCCAGAGCAGGGGTAGCCAAACTCCGGCCCTCCAGCTGTGGTGGAACTACAAATCCCATGAGGCATTGCAAGATTCTCACAGCCACAGACATGACTCCAGGAGACAGATGCATCATGGGATTTGTAGTTTCACCACAGCTGGAGGGCCGGAGTTTGGCTACCCCTGGTCCAGAGTATCTGAGAGGGGGGAAAAAATATCTTCCTGGGAATTCTCATCTGTAAACTGCAGATGTAGTCCTTCCTAGGATGCATCTGTGGGGCCAGAGCTAAATCACTAGTGCCTCATTCACCCAGAAAGTAGGAACCGGTAAGGGTCCGTTCACAGATACAGCAGTGACCAGCATTTTTCTGCACCGGTCACCATTGGAATGCATAGAAAACAATTGTTTTCTCTGTGCCCTATTCACAACATAATGCGGTTTGATGTGTGGTGGGCTTCAGTAAAATGCGGACATATTGCATTGCATCCAACTGGAGGTCATGCAGCTTAGTGTAAAGCGCTGCCATGCAGAGACATGAATGTAGTGTACGCTCCAAATTTAAGAAAAAAAAAAAGTGCCTTGTGTTGTAACACGGTAAGGCCCATGGCTCTCCGAGTGAACACTAGCCAACACTGTAAAACTCTGTGGCTAGTGTGTGAACGAGCCAGAGTTGAAAGCAAAAAATCTTTAACAAATTTAAGTTAATTTCATACTAGCATGCAGAGCTCCTTACTGATATTCTTTTAGTGAAAGGGGTAAAGGCCTGCTTAAATACTTGTGGCATCTCTCCTTCTCATTTCTAAGATATATAGTTGCCAATGTGCCATAGTAGGTTTCCCAGTATTAAGTCACTTTTATGTCCTAAGAGAGCAAAGCCTTGCTGATAAATCTGTTGCATAGTAAGGCAATATTGGGCATAATTCAGCGAGGTACTTATTTATGTCAAATTAGGCTCACTCTGCCTGGACTGTTGATGCTAAAAGCACTGTAACATTTCTTTGCGGTTAAACATTGTAGGAAAGTTTATGTTGGTTCTAGTCTGTTTAAAAATAATTGGCTTTCAGGTTCATCCTCTTTGGTCTTAATGTACTCACAAGCACCCGAAATTTGCAGGTTATTTTTACCACTGAAGGATATGAAAAACGAATAGGACTTCTTCTTGACATAGTCTTTTCATATCTCTAGATAACAAGGATGGAATATGTTCACTCCAAGAACCTCATTTACAGAGATGTAAAACCAGAGAACTTTCTAATTGGTCGTCAAGGGAATAAGAAGGAGCATATTATTCACATCATTGACTTTGGACTGGCCAAGGAGTACATAGACCCAGAAACCAAAAAGCACATACCTTATCGGGAACACAAGAGCCTGACTGGAACAGCCAGATATATGTCCATAAACACCCACCTGGGGAAAGGTTGGTTCCTTTAATTCTTCTTGAATGTATTTAATTAAAACTACCCAAAATTATATTTTTTAATATAAAGATCCTGACGACCTCGAAGAATAAAATGGTGACAATTGCTTTTTTTTATGCCCCCTGCTATTTGCCCAGCTGTGTATCAAATCCAACTTTTCAACAAACAATAAATTCAAATTAATTTTATTGCACACAAACCAAATATAATGCCAAATATTTTTAGTAGAATAAAAAAGATGAACTTGCATCAAATAGATGTAATGCCTCAAAATTGAGTGCTTCCATGAAATGGCAAAAAATGTTGATATCCAAAATTGTCCATAGGCGATGGTTTAAAAGCTTAAGTCATCAACTTAGAGTTAACTATAAATGGCCATAGAATTATTGGTCGCACTCTGGCCTGTTAGATCCCTAATGTCACTTATGAGGCCATTAAAGCTGATCTATCACAGATCGTGCTTGATCAGCTTCTTTCTCAACTAGCGCTGCTGGGGAATGGCAGCTCTGAAACAGGAAATTATGCAATGCTCGCCATTTACGGCTTCATTCACCAGAGGAGAGATCAGCGAACATATGTTTGTTGATCTCCCTCCGCTCTAGATGCAGACACCAGCCATGTCTGTCACAAACCCACAGAAGGGGCAGTGTAGCCCAGGATACATAATGCCGGTAGTCAGGCTGGAGGGGCAGCACCTTTAAAAGAAAGATCTATGGGCCACCTTTTTTTTTTATATAGTTCTCTTCCGGGTCACAGGAGAACGTTTACTAATATCCTCCCGTGATTCAAAACTCAGCTATTGCCTGCTATAGGCTGACATCGCAGAGGTGCACTGCGTACGGGAAAGATCCCGACATTGTCGGCATCCACCCCACTGCCTGATTAACAACTGGTTCTGCCTCTTTAGAGGGTAAAGCCAGCTGTGCCTGCACCATTCCCCGTCCATCCCTTCTGTCGGCGCTGGAGGAACGGAGAGGGGGCGGCATGCGATTGCTCAGTTCTTGATCAAGAGAGCCGACCTGTGACCGTGTCACACAGTGTCATCCCCTAATTATGGGGGGATGAGTGTTTTCACACTCCCCATAATTCTCCTGCTACCTGCCAGAAAGCCAACAGTCGGCTAAGGAAGTGGAAACGCACTCACAGCTGCTCTAGCAGCCAGGAATGTATTTAAGAACCCCTGCTGCCTGTTCACTCAGCCTCATAATCTGAGCCGACCTGTGACAATGAAACTGTCACTGGTTGGCTCAGTAGATCGGGAAGTGAGCTCAATGACTCGATCTATCCCTGCAGAGAGCCGTGTCTGTCGCTCATGGCTCCGTGCAGGGATTCCCCCCTCCCCTGTCCAATCCTCCAGCGCTGACTGGCGGAATGGGAGGAGGCAGGCACAGCTGGCTCTGCCTCTGGATAGGCAGAGCCAGCTGTCAATCCCGCAGCTGGGTGGATCTCGACAGCAATGTCGGGTTCCATCCCGGCTGTAGCTCGCGGTATACTGAGCTTTGGGTCACGGGAGGACAGTAGTTTGTGTTCTCCCGTGACCCTTAGGAGAACTATGGGGAAAAGCCCTGACCCCATAGTTCTCGAAGACTTTGAGTCACTTACGTGAAGCATGCATGTAAGTAAGGGTTCTAACTTGCCAGATCTTGCACCAGGGTGGCATCTCAAAGTTTTTGAGCCATTTGGTAAGTATCACAGTTTGGTTATTGGCATTTTTTTAACGAATGGTCAGCATTCTCATTTCTGTATTTGTGAATTGTTTATTTGAAGTCAAAGCAGTGGTCCTGTGTGGAAGAATGTCCAGCAAACTGTTTTAAAATGTGGGTGTGGTTATATAAATCTGGAGGTTAAATACAACATTCTATTTCTTATCCTAAGTTAATTATTATTATTTTTTTCTAACCTATATGACTGACTTAATGTAAAAGATCAGGCAACACAAAACTCCTTAATTTCAGTTTTATTTTGGAGATGCTGGAGAGGTGAACTACTTAAAGACTTCTTGTGTCTCTCTGGGTCTCAAGGGACTTTCACCACACAAGTCCCCAAGAGATGGCAGGAAGCTAGCTTGCGTTTTGCCTGCCATTGAGCTGTGTGGTTCTGCAATACATTGGCAGCCAATGGGATTTATTTTTTTAAATAAGCACAGTAAAATGTGGTTGCTTGCCAGTTCAAGAGATTATTGTAAAATAATAGGGGGTTAAATCCTTTGTTCTTTTGCATAGGGTTAGATTGTATAATACGTTATTCCTAGAGCTGCAGCTAACGATTATTTTCATAATCGATTAGTTAGCCAATTATTAAGTTCGATTAATCGGATTAAAAAAAAAAAAGTCTCCAGTGATGGACTACTAGTTTGTATTGAGATTGTAGTCCATCACGGGAGCAAGCTTGGAGCGGTGGAAGTAAAAAAAAAAGTGTGGTGTGCAATATAGTACATTATAAAGCGGCACAGTGCAGAATACCAGCAGCTATAGAGGAATGCAGCAAATCGTAGCAATAGTACATTATACTATAATGTATTATTGCTGGGATCTGATGTATTCCTCTATAGCTGGCGTTATTGGAGAGAACGGATATGATGGTGGAATGGGGTGCAGAGGACGGGTATGATGGTGGAATGGGGTGCAGAGGACGGGTATGATG